TTTTACTTGAAGCAAGACCATCTTATGCTCCTTCTTTTTCATTAAAAGCTCGATTTTTTTTTTATCAAAGAGCATTCCATGGCTGATATGCTCACTCAAGCCGTACAACATTTTGAAATCCTACCATAGGAATATGCAGATATCAAACTTCTTGATGTTTTCCGCCATCACAATAAGCGGAACACTTGCGAGATCGTAGATAAAAAACTTTTCTTTAAGCACAGACATGAATATTTTATTTATTTATTATTATTCCGCTTGCTTCACCTCTCAATGGGCATTACAGGTCAGTCATATTATCCTGATCGTTGCACCAGCAACCTCTTTTGGTTGTTTATCTTTTCAACCTTATTATTGATAAACAGATTTAACATTAGTGTATTACTTTTGTTGAGTGCTCCAACTTACAATCTTTTGGGTATGTTAGTATAAAATTAGCAAAAAGGATTAGTTAGTTTAGTGATATTTACATATGTACATGATTGGGGGCTTGCTGACTTTACATTTCGTCAGGTGCCTAGACCTGGTTATCTGCTATGATTATGTTTCTCTTAGAATAGACATACTCTATGATGGTTCTGACGCCCCGCTGTCCGTAGTAAACCTGAAGAAGGTCTTTAAGGCTATGTGATTCCCGGAGCTGAGGAAGGGAGGCTCTGATGGGAGCAGTGAGCGGACAGTCGTGGATGCAACATGAGACGTCTGCTGAAGAAGCTGAAGCACTGCAGGTGCAACAGCTTGCCATGTTGGTGACCATATGGAGGGCAGACGTTTTCTCAGTCTTGACATCTGAGCTGACCGCTATATATTATGCGCCTTTTTACCTATTAAAGCTGTGCCAAAAAATTTCATAATTTATCATATAGTGCATTGAAACTCGTAGAGTGCATTGAGAGCTTTAGAAACTGTTTCCAACACTCGCAGTCCTGTAGTTGTTGAAGTTCTAAAATTAAATCTAAGCTTACAGATGCGTGGATAACAAATTCTGTACTGCTGGGTTCCCGGTCATGTTAGGATCAAAGGAAATAAGCTCGCAGATATCACAGCTAAATCAGCTGTTGATCTGTGCAGCCAGCATGTTCTTCTGACGGATATTAAAAAGGTTATCAAGGGAAAGGTCCTAGAGAAGTGGCAGCTATTGTAGGATGGATGCTCACGTGTACAATAAGCTTAAAAACTGGATACTGGGACTCGAATAGGAAACCGAAGGGAGGAAACTAATTTTAACCCGTCTTCGTATTGGTCGCTCTCGTGTCACACATACTTAGTTACCTTTTGAAGGCCAAGAGTGAACTTGTGTGTTCCCACTGTGATAGTGTACTTACAGTATGTCATATTTTAATTGAAGTCCCTATTTTAACTCACTTAGACTGAAGTATTTTAATAACTCTGACTTGCCTCTTGACCGTATAATCGGAACTGAGGCCAATGCTAATTTATTTCAGTACCTCAAGGAGAGTGGTTTTTGTTATTTAAATTGATTTTCTTTTGATGCGTCGGTGTATTTTAGTGCTATACATTTTATTGTATCTCATATTTTATAATTTTACACATGCTTCACATTTTATATCATTACCCAATGTATAGGTTACTTCATCTTAACTTTCATCATTTTTATAGTATCTTTTTGTTTTATCAGTCTGCTTTCTTTTTAAACATGTGATTGCATAGAATTAATGTGTGGATTGAACTGTAGCCTGTTTTAATTGTCATACATGTGGCGCTAATCTGTTAAGGATGTGCGTCATAATATTTACCACCACCACCACTTTCACATCTTTCGTTTTGGCGTGTTCTCTTAATATTTCATCAAACAAGTCTTTTTTTTAATGCTCCGCCAGTTGTATGAAGTTTCTTTCTTTTTTTTTTTTCTTTATTTCACAATCTTGAAATCTTAAATGAGGTGACAGTAAATACGTTTTTAAGACAATGCAAAATTTGCCTCGCTTGTGTACAGATATACTTAATTTTCTTTAAATTTTTAAATTCACCTGCGAAGAAGGAGGTCTAGAGGTCGATCAGATAAATTCGATAATAAATCAACATGAATATTAAATGCTGTTCAGATTGCTAGGTTCCAGTGATTTTACATTTCGAACAGTAGCACCAAAGTGATGACAAAATTACCGAGATGAATGCTACCACCTATTATAATTTTCGTTCGGAGGGACAAGCGTTTTGTTATTAAATGGTAAATTTTACTGCAGGTTTATATTAGAGGTTTCACGGATTATTTTTTATGTTCTCACATACTATCAATGACTCACAGACCACGTGTTGATAACCATTAATATAGATGTCATAATTTTGCATATACAGGGTGTTCGGGATAAATTTGACATATTTATAACAGATTATATTTTCCCGTAGGTTGGAGGTATTGACACACACTACTCGTCATTTAAAAGTTTGGACCCTTCTTCATTCATATACAAAATGTCAGAAAGAATGGATGACTAGAACCCACCTGAATCATGGAAGAGAATAACTTGCATCATGATGATTCGTGCCGCCATCAAAATAAGGATATTATGACTGCTGCCCAATGCTCCCTGAACACAGTAAAACTAGAGACTTGCAATGTAAACACAGGCATGAACAGAGATTGCAATAGTGAGTACGAGGATGTCCCTAGAGACGATCTGATTGCGTTTCGTAACAGAATTCCTCGCAATCTGCAGAACAGGTTTGAACCCTGGCATTAGAATTCGGGCTTTGTCACGTGAAATGAATGTTGCAGCCTCTACTATGAAGCTTGCACTCAATGAAGACCTTCGCTACTACTCATACAAGCGGATTTCTTTTTCCTTACGAAACTGTCAAATTTATCCCGAACACCGTGTATATGTAAAATCAACACTCCCTTAAGTCATTTTTTCAATTTTTTGATTTTTCCTTTCTGTCCTAAAAAGTATCATAGTTGTAATGAATCTTTCTGAAGTATACCATTCCTAAATTGACGCTTATCGTATGATAATCAGATAACAGTAATGCGGTATAACATAACAGCAAAAAGAGAAATTCTTTACATAATGTTATCCACATGAAGACTTTTAATAACGAGTAATATTAAAACGGTACTGTGTTCCCTTGACGAGAAATACGATAACTTCGTCAATCTATTACTTTTAGATAAATTCTTTTTTTTCTTCTCTAACTGCTCGAGAAATATACAGATCCCATACCGTAATTGTTTTGAGCTAGGAGCATGTTATCTCTTTTTCGTGCACCACATATTTTTCGCTCTATCATAAATTGTTCTTACTTTATTCAATGGGTTGCATATCTGAAGAAGTAGTAGGAAATCAAGATAATGTTTCAAATGCACAATCAATCTCAGCAATTTGTTAGCTTCTCTGCAGTTGGGTTAAACTCTTATACTATGGGCTTTCAGTAAAATTTAAATCACACTATTTTTGAAGTGCTCGCTATCAGTAGCAATCACACGTCATAGTTGAAAAATGGAATTCGTGCAACATTTTTCAACAGAATCAACTGAAATGGATATACATGCGTCGGATTAGCGTTTTAGATCTGCGTTCTGATTTGTTAGAAACACATAATTTTAATACCAAGACAATCAGAATCCTACCCCTTTGCTACCCCTTTGCTCACTTTGACAACCAGGCTTCCAACATGTTTCGCAACAGAGAGCAGATTAAATAAGTTAAATGCATCGGAAACTGGCAACAGGTAAATGAGTGGTCGTGGCGTCATCTATCAGAAAAAAACTGCTTTTAATTACAAGGACAGCTTTTTAATTTCATTTTATTCTTTATCCATATATAAATACACTGAATATATTTTATTATGCTGTTTCTGGAATATTTCTTTTAAAATTTATAATACACGCCTCAAGACACTCTAGACAAACGTATGTATGAAAATTTGTAAATAATATTGTTTTCATCTTGATTTTAGTCTAACTGATTCTATTTGATTTAAATAATATAGTTTGGAGCATTTACTTGATTTTAAGATACTTTAAATTATTGTTTTATTTAATACGTTAATTCATTATGTTTGTTTTGTAGATTTAATTTTAGTTAAATAAAGAAGATATTTTACACTATATTTTATGCCATAAAACTTGCAGACTTGGGTAAAATTTTAAGCTATATAATTTATCAATAATAATTTTCATAAAAGTTACAAGACTGATATTCCACATACGCCATATATATAAACTTGATCACACATTTTGCTAAATAATAGCAGGATAATGTAATTAAACAGAATCTAACTGAGTTAGTACTCTTTAGCAAAATCTAACTAAAATTTTATATTTTATGTAATTAGAATATAGATACTTTGTCAGAAAATCATTTGGCAAAAAATGACATTTGGTAAGATCAGGAAAAAATTCCAGTTATTTCAGGAATACATATAAAAAAATGTCAGGATTTACTTTTATTTTTACTCACCTTCATTTCAATCTCTCCCCTGAGTTCCAGTCGAAATGTTTTGAAGGTATCTAAGACCTCTTTTGTGCTACTGCTGACATGGATTTTCAAAGCTGTAAGAAAACATAAATTATTTTCATCACATTCATGCAGAATCACGTGCATGTAGATATTAATTTCTAAAATTTCCTAATGCGTTGCTGGATTTCTTTATACACTTAAATACATTGAGAGACCAAAGGTCGTGGGATAGATACCTAGTTTCGGATTGTTGAAGTTATTTGTGATGATGTAGAAAGACGAAATTGTAAAATTCTCTCAAGAATTTTAAATAAATAAATAACTTGTTACAGTTATTTGGAAATTAGTTTTTATTATATTTATTTTACCATACGTTTCAAAACGCAAAAATGTTCTAAAATTTTTTTTTATACAATAATACTTCTCATTTAAGGACACTGGGATATAAATGACCTTCTTTGAGGGAAGATGTACTTAAATCAGAGGCTATCAACAAAACTTGCAATTTACTTTGAAATGTAAAATTAAAATTTTTGTTTATTTCAGATTCACTGTCAGCTTCAATAGTAAATGCTGAAGAAAGTTTATTAAAGCCAGATTTTGTAAAACAATTTATAATTATTTCCTGTTTAAATTATTTTCATGTAATATTAATTCACTGCACTGCGTTTAAAACGACGACTGCTTTTGGCAAATTTGTTGCTGATGCAGAAGATTCCATTTTTGCAAGATTATTCCGGAAATGCACCAAAGAGTCTATTTTTTCATGATAATTGTAGGTATTTTTTTCTGAATTTTTTAAAAATCAATTAACGGAGCCTTTGCTTCAAAACTTCCCATGCTTCAACACTGACATCTGCAGATTTACGAGGAACAATATAAAACTGATGCGCGGACGTACATGGAATTGTTCATCTTTTCTGTTAGTTGCTTTAAAATTTTGGTACCCAAGTTTTAAAGCAGCTACATGAGCATTTTCTTATATTAAGAATCTTAAAACAAAAAATTTTTCCTTCGATATACTACGAACAATTCATATCCCACTTCATCAATATCTAGATCTTACGTCTCAGTTTCCTAAGAATGTATAGATATATTTATGTTTACATTTCCAGTTCCGTTCTTTTAATATTTATTCTCCTTTGCTATAGAGAATCTCCAGTTTGAGTTTTACTGACATCGAATTTTAAAACCAGCATCTATATGCTATGATGTTCTTTATTAACATGATCGATAGTATTTATTTTTCTTTGACAGGCAATGTTTTATGCTGTGATTTCATATTTACATGTTTAGGAAAAGGACTTTCTAAAACCTAAGCGAAGCTTTTAAGAAAAACAGCAGGCACCTTTTTTTCAGCTTAGACATTGTTTGCGCAGTGAACTATAAAAGAATGGACTACTCTTTGAACCAATGGCATCCAATATTTAAGTTATACCCATTATAACTATTTAAGTTATATCCTGTTGGTGGAAAGAGAGAAAAGGAGTGGGTTATTTGATTTGAGAACAGTATGCCAGTTCAAGGAAATAGAAATTGGAATCAATTAGTTAAGCTGATAAAAAATAGCAAAGTGGACAAAGCAAAAATATGCTTAGCAATGTTAGGAATGTCATCAATAAAGAGGAGACAGTTATTGGAATAAGCTCTTTTATTATCTTTTACTTTCTTGTACAAAGTATTCTTGTATTTCGAGCAAAAACATTTCGAGTATCATATTTCAGCAGAAGTATCCAATTTGACCGTTCCGGAATCATGACTTTTATTTTCGTTACGTCTGTACGTACAGAGAGAATAAAGACCTGTTTTTCCAGATTGTAAAATGATTTAAAGTGGATTTAAAACGGACTTTTTTCATAATGTTTGTACGTACATGCGTATGTACGTATCTCGCTTAACTCAAAAACGATTAGCCATAGAATTTTACTATATGTATATCCCCTTACGTGGTTTCTCGGTTCCATTAATTATATTTGGGAAAATTTTATATTCGTTATGAAAAAATAAAGAAAAAAAATTAGATTCCTGGTACGGCAATAATTGACCGGGATATTTAATTTCAAAATTTGCAAATTTTTATGTCATTTTCAACTTGCTTTGAGAAATCGGTTAATTAAATTAGAATAATTCGAAGGAAAAAATTTAAATCAATTGCAGTAAAATGTGCATAATTTAACAGGCTGTACAAGGATGCCATGAGATGATCACATTAAATTTTTCTTATCGGCGAATGTCCTTAAAAGAGAACTGAAAATGCTGTATAAAAGTATTCTGTTTTGAAGGAACCATGAAATCTTTCCCCATTAAGAGGTGCCTTCATAGGTTAAAGGAAGTTATCTCATTCTCCTTTGCATACTCTTGTGGTATGGAGTTAACACATCCGTCTAACAACTAAAAATAGGATTTGTTCGGATCTCGGAGAAGGCGCAAACGATTTCTCACGTTTCTTGCTTCGAAATGCATAACAATCGCTAAAATGGCGCCTGAACTAAAACGTAGAACACAAATAAATCGCCATCAACAGAATTTTGGTTAGGTTGGTTTATTTCAAAATTATGCGAAAGTTTTTATATTTTTGTGATAACTTATTAGCTGATTCATATTTCAAGATTCGAAGATTAAAATAGTGTATTTGACAGTTATTCTATGGTATACTGAAAGCCTAGTACAGTAATAACAGTTCAGACAGGTTAATTTTCTGGCTTTAATGACGATGAGAAATCTAAGTGAGTAAAAAGAATAATAAGTTGCTTTTCAGTGTAATATTCAAGCTGATTATTATTAGAATCCTCTTCTTCAGTTTGGAACAAGATTTACTCTATGTTTAACTACTACATGCTGTATTATTAATTAAGCCAAGAATCTCTTATTTTGTAGGAAAATGTAGGCTTTTAGGAAAATGGATATTTATATCTTATAATCAAATACATAATTAAATTACATTCGATTTTGCGGATGTAATTTTATGAAGTATGTCAGTATCTGTCTCCTTAAATGTAAAATTTGCAGTGAGAGTATTACAAGGTTTAATGAGCAATAGCGTTTGGAACAGCAGATTTTGTAAAAATGCAGCGGTATTAAAAATTAAGAAAATCTTCACATTTAGTTGAATATCTCCAGAACCGATGGGATGATTTTAATGAAATTTAGTGTGGAGTAGGCTGAAATAATTCAAAACAATACATCTTGCATTAGTCATAGTACATAAGCATTAATCGTAACATATGGAATCATCTAACAGCCATACACATCTCACACTATGATTTCATACTGAAAATGAACCACTCAATGAATCCATTTTAATTCAGTTCAGTTCAATTGACAATGAATTGGGACACCTGTTCCTCAACAGTGATTAACAGTATTGTTTCTCATCTATCATTAATTTAATTTCCTTTGAGTATTAATAACCATTATTTTACATTTTCATATTACAATATATTATTTAAATGTATAAATTTTGAAACGTGCACATAAAAGAGGAATAAAAAATTAAAACTAAATGCAGTTGCTTTAAAAAGGAAGTTCATGAAGTCCACAGTTCGTAGAGTCCTTAAAGTTCGATCAAACATTCATAAAATCGAACATGATACAAAAAAATCAATATCATAATAAACTTTCATAAAAGAAAGTTACTATGTGTGGGCTTGTAAATAAAATAATGAAATTTTAGAAAAAGAGATTAATAAGCGACTGTTATATCCATATTTCTAAGCGGATTGGCAAACGCTTTTTCTCAAAGTAGGAAGTGAATTTATAATTTTACAAATTTTAAGAAAAAGATACTATCTTTGTTTAATAAAGAATCTTTTGAAAGAAATGGCATAAGCTGTAGGAAATTTATAATGGTATTGTTCTATTAAGGCTATTCTATTTTATAATGATATAAAGGTTCTACGTCCACAGAGACACTGATTTATATATTGATAAATCCATGTCTTTAGTAAAACGTTGCGAAGGAACAATGTGCTATTATGTATCTTGATAATCGCGGAATCGAAATTTTACGATTCAGATCATCTGTCGGTGGAAAATTAAAGGTAGCTCTGCTCTGTTCACTAATATTCAACTCTTCTTGCCATCTTCTTTTAATGAGACTGTCAAAAGATATTTTTAAAAATATGATCTAGGTAAAGGAATGGGAATTTTATTCTGCATTATAATTGTCGACGGATTCTTTTGCCAACTCATTGCCATGGGATTCAGAATGAGATTTTGTCTGACGAACACTGACATCTATATAGATACTGTTGCGTTTTTCTTTTTTCCTGACACCAGTTGTTACGTTATTTTCTTCCTTCACGTTCGTACGGGGTTCGTGAGGATTTGGAGTGAATAATGACAATACTACTTGACGAAAGTATCGAAACACACTTTATTTACCAATATTAATCAGGACAGCTCGAAAACACTTTTACAGTCGTCGAAGAACTACTATAAACACACTGACAGAATCGGCGACACAGCCTTCACACTATCAGGCTATAACGGTGGAGACAGCTTCACTGCAAAGCACCAGAGTACAGCTCCCAACTCTGCTTGGTCATTCTCGGAACTCCACGTACCCTTGAGACTCTCCATGCTACAACTCGCGATGCACTCGACGATACCCAAAGCACAGCTCCCGACTCTTCGGTTCAGTCGTTCCTGGAGCTCAACACGCTCTCTCCACGATGCACTAACCGCGATATACTATGAGACTCTTTCGGTGCACTCGACAACCCACTCGGCACTCACTGCCCGGCTCTCAACTCGATCGACTCAGCAGGGATTGACTAGCTAGACGAGACACCGACTCGATACTAACTATCTCGCACTCTATGCTCTCGCCCTCTCGACGAGGCACACTGACTGCGGACCAGCAGGGTTTATACAGCTTCGGCTTGTGTTCGAGAACATTATGGGCTAAACCGGTAAGAATTCGTTCCAGAAGGTTCTCTATCCGTCCATGGCATGTCTTCAATTTTGTCGCCAAATGGGCGATTTCTGGCCAAATGTGGCAACCCTGCCTTCCTTTGCCATTTTATGGCAACCCTAAAACTGCTTTGCGGGGAAGCCATCTTACCGCGCCTGTACATTTCGTAACAATACTATCAGTACAGATTTCAATATAGATACTATACAGTAATATCAAAAAGATGTAGTACTATCAATATAGATATTTGAATGAAAAATACTATTGTGTATACTATATTAAGTTGCTTCAAAGTAGCTACTCATTACCATGGGATGGCTTCTGTTTGGACAAGATGTCCTTTCCATTGATACTTGATAGACTTGTCCTCCAATAATACAAATGTGCATCCAACATTATCATTAATTCTAGAGCCGTCGCTGTAGATTCTTGCATTCTGCTGTGATGTGATAAGTATTCAGGTTGTATTTCTTATTACTTTTAGTAGTGAATATACTTTTAGATATTCTCTATGTGCCGATTGAATGTTATCTGAAGTCATGGTGCTTCATTATGAAGTGAGTTAAATACTTTTTCAGCACAGCTTACTTTTGAATTTAGTATAGTCATGAAAATGGCTTTTTGCTGTACTCGGGCATGCAATGAGAGCAATCTTGCAAGCATAGTACTATTAGTACCATTAAGATTTGAGTCCGATCCGGAAAAATTATCTTGTTCCTCAAAAGTAATATAGAATCTAGAATTAATACTACTATATGTATGTAGAATTAATATTTAAAGAAATAAAGTTTGCAAATACTTTTCCGAACATCCGGTATATCGTATTACATTAAAAAGGCGGAATTGTTCCTTGGAATGTTAGATCTTCCTATAACATTATTTAAAGCCTTATCATCCATTACCCTAAAGTTTCATGATGATTTTTAGTGAGAGTCTTATAAAGTTTTCGCAATAGTAAACCATGAATTGAAATTAAAATATAATTGCTTACGTAATCCATTAGACTCCATTCTTGATGCTGTATTTACAGTGTCACCAAATAAGCAGAATCTTGGCATTTTAAGTCCCACAACGCCAGCAGCACATGGTCCTAAAATGAATAATATTATGAACATCCTACAATTTTATTTTATAAATGTGGTAGCAGCTTTTTAATTGCAGGTGATAAAAATATTACATTAAAATTTAAGGACTACCATTAAAAAGAAAATCAATCAAGTGAACTATTAACACTTCCCTCGTACTGAAGATCAGAAGTAGCAATACACTAATGTTTGTGAAAATTGCAACACTATGAAGGAAATATGTAAATTGAACCAAACTTACACGGAATGTAATGTGAGGTAAGACATGCAAATATTAAAATTACACAGCGATTTCCCATGCATGGAATAAGAATCAGCTGCTTGTTCCATGTATATAAAGGACTGTAAAGTGACGTTGTTTGGCTAAATCTTGACAGTGGCGCACGCAATAATACAACGGCCCAGAGCAATAGATACCTCATCCGCATGGCTGTGATAGATCGTACAGAGTCCTCTCGTGTGTTAGCACAACGTTGGATCACAGCTACAGGTGATGTGTTGTTTAGCTCGACAGTTCGTCGCCGTCTACTGCGGAACGAACTGCGTGCAAGGGTTCCTCTACGCAGGATTGCCCTGTCACTGAATCACAGACGCCTCCGAATTCAGTGGGACAACACAGTGCGTGGAGTGCACTGTGGCAACAAGTTGCTTTCTCCGATGGATCTCGCTACAACCTGGAGTACAATGATGAAAGAATATGCGACAGATGTTATAGAGGAGAACGTCTGCTCCCACACTGTGTCATACCGCACAAACCGTCTGGAATATAATCGGTCGGCGACTCGTTCGTACAGCTGGTGGGGCACACACTAAGACTGAACTTTGGCATCAAGTTGAACCCATATGGAATGCCATTCTCCAGGATTACATTCAGAACTTATATGATTCATTGCCACACCATGTATAAGCTTTTTTGGCTCAGCTTCGTTGACACACGAAGTACTCATTTCCGACGTTCATTTTGTTTCTTACCTTGGAAATTTGATCGTTTATTTGTAATAATATGTGGAATAAACTTTATTCAATTCCGACAATTCCCAATTCCTTAATGGTGTTGCGTTTTTCGAAAACATTAGTGTAAAAAAAAAAAAAAAGAAAAAAAAAAAAAAAAAAAAAAAAAAACACACCAGCCAGGACAATAAATGGGTAGGGATTTCGAATATACTGTTTCCATCAGCTGCTAGAAAAATAATTTTTTTATCTTTTTAATTTATTGAAAAATCTGAAAATTAATCAATTATTTTTTTAATTATTATAAAATTATTTTTACGTTAACTTATTTTTTCCATTTTGCTATTGTACCATCGTTAAGCCGAAGTTTTGTTTCTTCTCTCTCTCTCTCTTTTTTTTTTTTTTTCCTTAATTTGACTGAATTCTTTTTATTTTGGCTGAGGTTCTGACACTTTTTTGAGTCACTACATTTTTCCGAATTTTGGAATTATATTTTCCCTCTTAAGCTTTAAAAGAGTAATCGAATTTGACGATTTCAGACACATATGATGTGTGTGTGTGTGTATTTAATTATGGCAAAGCACACTAGGGCTATCTGCCTAAGGGGAGGGATGCCTTCGTGGAGAACTTTCTAAGGGAAACTGGCTCGTATACACGTTACACATGGGGAAAACCATCAGACACATATGAACTACTCAGCTCATTTTCATTAGGTGATTGTGTTTCTTCTCAATTACGGTACTAAATGTCATGCTTTAATATCATGTGAAGGCCATCCATTGATTTAACTCCAAAACTTAAATTCCAGCATATAATTTTTGAGTTACTTTTATCATTGACTAACTCTGTACTTAACTAACTCTAACTGACTAACTCCAATTGTACTCTTATTTTAGAAATCATAAATGTATTTTTACGTAACTTTCAGAATTTGAAAATATACTAAGTTTTAAATTTAATCAGTTTTTTGAATGCCTTGAAGGAAACGTCTCAACATGGCATAAATTTACGGTGAAATAATATCATAGCAAATTTTTTTCCTATCATTTTGATCAGCTCACTTTAAGTACAATACTTTTTCTATAATTTAACTTCTGAAGGACTAATTTTTAAATTAGTAAGCTATCCTAATTGCTTAGCTTAAAATTGTTTCAGTTGCTAAACTGACGTAAACACATCAAGATCAGATTGCTGTTTCTTTTCATATTATGAGTTTATATACTTTTTATTTTTAAACTGCTTATTAATTTTCTGAAATTTTAATCGGGAGCCCTTCGAGGTATTAGACAGCAACTTAAATGTTTTCAAATTAGAATTTATTTCTTTTTATAGGAACTACCCATTGTACAGGGTCCATAATCCCATGGGAGCAGTCTGTAGCAAAAACTATGCAGCAGAATTGCATGAAAATTAAGTAATGGCAAAATGTAATGATAGGAATGTTATCCGAGGAAAGAAAAACCAATGAATTTCAAAAACCACCACTAGATGCCGTTGTGCAATGTAAACTATTGGCATATGCAAATGTCGTAACCATAGTAATCCTATGCGCACACAGCAACACTATAAAGATACAAACCGCAGTCATACTCGTTTCCAAGTCAAGGAAGATGACGTTGACTCTCCAGGAACGTGCTTTACTGGTGAAATTGTTTTACCAAAACGGAGACTCTGCTACCGAAGTTTCGGTCTTTAAAGCGGTTACGAAAAGGTCCACTCACTAGTCAAGAACTAACAAACATAATTAGGAAATCTGAAGCAACGGGAACATTGGGGATTTAGCCAAGAAGGGGATGAAAATGTCTTGCAGCACAGGTACTGAATGATGTAGCGACGCAAGTGGAGGAAGACAGATTGCAAACCATCGCCAGCACAATTGTTCGGCGTATTGCAGCATCTGTTGACCAACCTCATTCCACGGCTCATAAGATTCTTTAAAAGATTTTACGCTACTATCCCTATAAACTGTTGCTAGAGCAGCAGCTGTTATTAGCTGATCTGGATAGTTGACAAACTTTAGCGTTACGTTTTCTTGCGCGAGTTGAACTCCGAGATGAATGGCCATGGACTATTTTGTGGACCGATGAGGCTCCCTTTCATATGGAAGGTACAGTTAATACGCACAATTGCCGTATTTGGGCTGCTACAAACCCACATTAAGTCCTACAAATTCCATTATACTCTTCGCATGTAACGGTTTGGTGCTGCTTTACTGTAACCTTCATTTTGGGTCTGTGATTTTCGAAGAGCATAGCGCCGCAGGGCCTGTGACAAGCACCGTCACAGGTCAACGATGCGCTTTATTATTAGAGCAATTCCGGATCTTCAGGCAAGACGATGTGTTACAACCACAGTGTTTATGCCGGATGGTGCTCCTCTACACATCGCCCATTGTGTGAAACAAGTTTTCCGCCACCATTTCGGCGAAGACAGAATCATCAGCCGGCAATTTCCTACAGCTTGGCCTCCCAGATCTCCCGACTTGAATCCTTGCGACTTTTGACTGTGTGGATGCCTCAAGGCCATGAAGCTCTCCTGGCTGCCTCATCTCAGAGCAGTCCGCGCGAGGACACACGCAGTTGCAAATACCTTAAGGAGGCTTCAAGGCTCAGACTGGGGCCTTAGACCATATATCCTAAAAATCGTCTATCAGTCCGTCGTGGAAAAAATGGCCCTCTATGGAGCGGCAATCTGGACAACTCCAATGAACGAAAGAAAAAGGAAATTGCTCAGTAGTATACAACGCCCCTTTGCTCTGGCTATTACAAAAGGATACCGTACAACATCGACAGCGGCAGCCACAATACTGACGGGAATTTTGCCATTACATATTAGAGCAGCACAAGTAGCAGCAGTAACGACTGTTCTCCAATTACATCTCTGCACTACGTTTGGACCGCTGGCTATGATCAAGAGAGTATGAAACAAAACGTCCTCATAAATGCAACCCATCCTTCACACCATGGAAAAGGGGTTATAGCACACACCACCTCTCAGCACAGCCTGCATGAAAAATAAGGCTAGTAATGTCATCCATTCTCTAACTACGGAAAAGGAGTCTCGGCCAACACATCATGGCAAGATGACTCTGACATAAAGGATCAATATTAGTTTATACGGATGGTTTCAAAAGTTGACGGACAAGTTAGGCTGTGGCCTTATAGTAACTAAGAACAAGGAAACGCTGATAACATGGAAAGGTCATATGAGACAGAATAATTCAGTTTTCCAGGCTAAAGCAACTGCGATTCGCAAAGCAATCGAGTTAACAAGCCCCCCCCCAGTAGGATCCACTATTAATATTCTTACAGACAGCCTCTGTCATATATGCCTTACGAAATCCCAGACATCCTTCTCCTATCATAGCGGAGATTCAGGACACGCTGAAGGAGCGTTCGTCGACAATGAATATCCTCATATCTTGGATAAAGGCGCATGCCGGCATTCAAGGTAATGAGGAAGCCGACAGGCTAGCAAAAGAAGCAGCTCACAATATCGATGCACAATGCGTAATTACCAAACTCCCGTGCTCTCACCTTAGAAAAGTGACAAGGACAGCAGCTCAGCACCAGTGGCAATGGGAATGGGACTCTAACGAACAAAGCAGGAAGACCAATGAATATTACCATAAAGTTTCGCTCGATCGTCTCGAGTCATCCCCACAAATAACGAGATTTGTGACGGGGCACGGGCCTTTCCCCTCCTATTACTATGAGAGAGGAATTGCAAATACCGAAAGTTGTGCCTGTGGAGGCATTGGTAAGACCATTACTTGGCACAATGCCCTCTAACCGCACAGTGGCATGTGCAGCTTCCAGAACAGGCAATTTCTCATAAGCGTTATCTGATAAAACAGCCAGCATTTCGCATCAAAATATGCAAGACAATGCAGAAACTGGAGAAATTGGGAACAGATTTGTGCAGTGTGGAATAGTTCCATGTCAATCTCTCTTCTCTCTCTCTCTTCTATCTTTTTTTTTAAAATCTTTTTATTTTTTTAAATTTTTTTATTATTGTATATATTATGAAACATGTATGTATTACGGCCACTATGTATGTATTATGTAACAGGCTCAATATATTATGAACTATGTAAGCAAGAATGAACTAGGTAAGCAAGAAGCACTATGTAAGAAGAACTATGTAGCAAGCAACTAGTAAGCACTACTCTGTAAGCATGTATATGTATGAACTATGTAAGCAAGTATTATGAAAGATCTATGTATTATGAACTACTTGTATGATCTAAGTATTATGAACTACTTGTATGATCTATGTATTAGAACTCTTGACATATTATTATGAACTATGTAACTATGTAAGCATACATTATGAACTATGTAACTATAAGCATATGTTATGAACCTATGTAAGCATGTATACAGAACCAATGTATGCCCTTATAGGCCCCCATGAGGTGTTGCCCCGGATAGTTGCGGAACCTGGACTAGACCCGAATAGTCTTAGTAAGCCGCACGGGTGTCCAGATTCTGCTCTCAACTCAACTCAACTCAACTCTACTGTGATCCCTTCACATCTCTATCCGACTTTAAAGAAAGCATAGAACGCCATGTGCGTAACATTCCCCAGTTCGTGCTGCTTTCAACAGTCGAACATGCGGTTTTACGCTTCCAGATGGTAGCAGAAAATGGTGGATATCACATCGAGCATGTTTTGTAAACTTTTATAGATTATTTACGTGTTCTCAATAAAGCTATGGTATGCCACCTGGGGGTGGTTTTTGAAACTCATTGTTCACCCCCCTCGATACAATTCCCATCATTTCATTCTGCCACTACCCAATTTTTATGCATTTCCGCTGTGTAGCTTTTGCTACAGACAGCTTGTAAATTTCAAGTTTAATTATGGACACCCTGTATATGCAAGATATTACAGTTTTAAATATTCGAAAATATCGTATTATATTTCTAGAATGACCTGATATTTCTTTTTGTATGTAATATGAAATGTTATCTGCTAACAAATTCGTGTATTAACTTTTTATTGCATTTTCTTCAAAAGCAGAAAAAGAAAAGCTATGAATCGGCAAGTGTGTTCTTTAGTAATTCTCAGAATCAGTATCTTGCAATACTTATGTCCGCGTACCAAAACGATTTTACAGACTCACGTATACTATATTCATATATTTACATACAGTTAAAATTTCAGCTTTGTAAAAGAAGAATCTAAATGGTCGATTCATTCTGAAGATTCAATTTCCCTCTCAAATATTTTTAATTACGAAAACATATATTAGTTTGTCTTGATTTAAAAAATTTGAAAATGATGGCAATCACAAATCGTAAGAAAGCTGTTACTGTTCTTATGTTACCTGAGTGTATTCCTATCCTCAGTTTCAATTGTTCTTTAGGACGATGTTTGATGGTAAAGCATAGTACAGCATCTAATAACCTTAGAGACATACGGGCCACTTCTCTAGCATGGAGATTTCCATTTCGCACAGGAAGTCCAGACACAACCATATATGCGTCGCCTATAGTCTCTACCTGAAATAACAATGAAGTTGTTGATTCAAACCAAAGGTACGTAGTCAAGCATGTATCACATATAATTTAAAGATTAAAATCTAGTTCAGTGTGTAGTTTCAGTTTGAATAAAAGAACAAAGTAAAATTTGCAAGATGTAAACTAAGAGAGTTTTTGAATTCATAAAAAATAATCTATTGAAAAATATTGTTATAATTGATATATTTTTGTCTTTCTTAATATAATAACTAATTTTTGTGTGTAGATATGCCAAATGACTATTGCTAATAACCCGAGTTCGCTTTCCTGTAGATCGTTCTGAAGTTAAATAGCCTGTACTTAACATTTGAGATAAGACAAATCATACAGAAACTGTTCACTGATATTTAGATCTTGGGCAAATTTACCATTTACATTTCCAGTCTTGGGCAGGTTTAATTAGCAAGTCACCTTACTAAGCCATTATTTTTTGTGAAGCATTTTAGAAGGTTTACAGTTTATATGATTTGCTGTAAAAGGGCAAATATTATATGAGTACAGCAACCATGCATATCTATAGTAATTAAAAACTCTTTTTTTCTTCGTCTTAAAAAAAAAAAAATTAATGAACTGAATTTCTATGCGAAGAAATATTAGATTTCAGCTGCATGTATTGATAATTTATAACTGAAATCAGAACTTTAACTGAGTTTAATGGCACACATAACGTTGTTAAGTAGCATTCTGAATTTAGAGAATGTGAAGCATTCTTATTGTATAATAGTTCTGTTTTCGATTCATTGAAAAGAAACACGAGTAGTTTTGGCTTTCGGAAAAGGTTCCCGGACACCAAAGAAATAGTTGTAAATAAAATAGAAGCGAAAGAAAACACTTTTCATTTATGTCCCGTAAAATCAGTATCAGTAAAATTTCTGAACACTGTTAGTTCGACCTGGGTTTGATTCCTGGCAAACAAGCTGGCTGTATGGGCATTTTCATGGTTCTGGTTCTCCCCATGTGTAGCATGGATACCTGTCAGTTTCGCTTAGAATGTCCTTTAAGAGTATTCATCCTTTTAGGCTAGATTGCCCTAGCGTGATTCGCCATATTCAATTAAAAAAATTGTTCTTCTCAGCGTAAAATTATTTGTTTAAGTTTCTGTATTTCTGTGAAGTTACATTGACTTAACGGCGGTGATGGACTCCGTGAAAATGAACAAACGTTACTTTGAAGTGTAACGATGAGAGGGCCCGATGAGGTATATAAACGTAGTTGCATTTTACTTCCTTTTTATCGTTTCTGATGAACTTTTGTGAAAATGACGACATCTCTCTCTCTCTACCAGTATAAAAGGACATCTAGCGTGAACTGATGGTGAGTTACGTTTTTTAAGGAAATACGAAAGAATACAAGTAGATAATGAGGTAGGCTGGTTTGTTACATTCATTTGTTCATTTCATATACTTCATACAAGGCTCGTCAATTTTTGCTACTGACTTCATACAATTCGTTCGTCAAATCAAAGGTATGGCCTCTTATTGAGAGCAGTGCGGTGACCTACAGATCAGTTGATAAAAACACAGTTAACAAGTTAAACAAATACCAGAAAGTAAGATGATTATTTGATCATTAAATGCCTAAATTCTCGGACAGATCCTATATTTCAAATGAGCAAGCGGAATTTCATTCTTAGCTTTTTTTGGGGGAGGGGGAAAATTAAATAATCAGCTCAATATTACAAAAAGTGAATTAAACTCTTTTGTCGCCTGCTCTGTACATATATATTCCCATTTCTAATTATAAACAGAAATATTTTCATAATCGCAAATCTCGTTACATAAATATTTGTACCGAATTTTTTAAATACTCCCTTTTTTTCTATATGTGACAGTTGCCTTCTAATCAACGATAATGTGAAAATAAAATAAAAAATATTTTAGAAATATATTTCTATTCTACGGTTTTAAATAACTTCTTTTTTATCAATTCGCAAATTCAATCAATATTTTGTTCCTTTGGCATCAGGCAATAAAAACAAAATGCATATAAAGTAAACAAAAATCTAACAATGAATGAAATTACATATTCTTCAGAATTAAATCGATTACAGATAATCGTCTAAGCAAAAGCTTCAACACATTCACTTTTGAAAACATGAGAATCATAATTAGATAAAAAAACACTAAATTCATGAAGCCTAATTCCTAATCTTCTTTACATAAATCGGATTACCAGCATTCTGGCGTATATTCAACAATAGACATTACACAGCAAAACTTAATCTTCTCTGAAGAATTCCTAGACAAATTTGCTTTGTTGTTTTTCATTTTATTTGATTAATTGTTCTGCGTTACTCTAAAAATAATGAAAGAACGCTCCTATTTGGAATCGCTGAGCATGCCGATAAATTGGTGTAATGCATCTGCTTGAAAAGTTGGTACGATTTATGTTTGAACGTAATTTTTTAATTGACGCAAAGAGGAAAGTTAAGGATGGTATACATATTGTTTTATTTTCTTTCTTCATGTTCGTATGATTTGGAGTGAATAACGACGCCACTTGATGAAGTAGCAAAACACACTTTATTTAGCCAATATTAATCAGGACAGCTCCAAAGTCACGTTTTACAGTCGTCGAAGATCTACTAAAAACGCGCTGGAACAATCAGCAGCACAGCCTTCAGGTTATCAGGCTACAACGATGGAGACAGCTTCACTGCAAAACACCAGAGTACAGCTCCCGACTCTCCTCGGTCGTTCTCGGAACCCCATGTATTCTCGGGACTCTCCACGCTACAACTCGCGATGCATTCGACGATACACTAGAGTACAGCTCCAGACTCATCGGTTCAGTCGTTCCCGGAGCTCAACACATTCTCTCGACGATGCACTAACCGCGATACACTAGGAGACTCTTTCGGTGCACTCAACGACCAACTCGGCATTCACTGACTGTCTATCAACTCGATGGACTCTCGCTAACTAACTGATTGACTCTATACCAACCAACTCACTGCGTACCAGTAGGGTTTATATAGCTTTTAATTTGTGTTCGAGAACATTCTGGGCTGGTTCTCCATCCGTCCATGCCTATCTGCCTCCCAATGTCGCGAAAAGGGAGATTTATAGCCAAATGTGACAACTCTGCCTTCCATTACAATTTTATGGCAACCCTAAATCTGCTTTGCGGGTAAGCTATCCCACCGCGCCTGGACATTTCGTAACGATATTAGTATAAAATGATGATATAGCCAATCTGTACCGCATATTTGCTTGTAAAGCTACACGCTGGTGTTTAAAATTAAAAGGTAATGGTAAATGTTAATGTGGAGCGCTTTTATTGGGTGAGGTCTTTGCCATTTAAATACGTATCATTATTTACGTATTTAAATCGCAAAGACAGAGAATGTGTTTAGTAGCATATAATTATATGCTACTAAACACAAAAACGTGTTCCTGCATAGATATTAGTGTACAAAATATGGAAATAAAGCGAACAGAGAGCAAAAAGAAACATGAATTTTGCATACATATCTATGTTGAGTAAGTATTAAGTTGTAATGTTGAAAGTAGTAAGACGTTTTTTGTAAAGTCCGGGAGACGTTTAAATGAAGGTCAATAGTGGTTCGGCGATTGGTTAACTCTACGCAGTCATGATTATTAGTCGCATCCAGAGATAGAGAGGGCTTTTTCCAGAGAATGCCTTCAATACAGGATCCGCCACTTTTACTTACGATACGGCCACAAAGAGCCTGATTTCTGATCTTTGCGTAGTCTGAACTCGCGCATGTATAAGCTTCTGATTCATTGCGCTTGCGAACCAACTAACCGAAATTTTGAATTTTCTTCGACATTTTGCGTAATTTTTATCAATAAATTCTTTTCAGTTAAACAGTTATAGCTTTTTGCAATCGCTATATTCATTTTGAATGAGCCTGTATTTTGTTCGGCTAGATGAATCCAGCGCTTTTATTGGGTGAGGTCTTCGCTATTTAAATACGTGCGGATATTTAAACCACGTCTAGTGAAAAAAAAATTAAAACAGCAGTTCGTTCATCTTTCCAGTATCCAGATATTATTCCCGTGAAAGGCATTACTTCTGGTGCAACTTTAATTAAATTTTAATAATTACTTACGAATTAAAAAAATCTGTTATTAGTAACCTAAATTTTAAACGGAACTTTTAACGAAATTTTCTTTTAAATAATACAATAACCAGCCAAATTCGTAGGCTGCTTCATACGCCAAAATTGACTTAAATGTTTTTGGTTTCTAACTTTTTCTTCATAATTAAAAAATGCAATGTAGGGTTATATGCGTGCTTAGATTTTAGTATACACATAATTAAAATGTTTAAATTAGATTATGGCAAAGCACGTGGGGTTTATTTACCTGAAGAGAGGGATTTCATAAAGGATTTCTTAAAGGAAACTGGCTCATATTTATGCTACACGTAGGGAAAACCATAAAAGGTACCGTACAGACAAAGAATCGCTGGGATTTGAGAAGCGGTCGAATTGCCGATTAATGGGGTAATAATAATGTAATGTAATATACGAGTGTGGTGCAACCATCCTGGCCGATAATAATCGGCATCATGGTTAACGCAGCACACCCAGTAGAGATTAAAACAAAAATACAGTTCAAAACATCAAACCAAAATTCCCAGCCTTGTTCTATCGCCATTTATACAGTTCATCAAATCCTCTGCAAATCTAAACTCTATTGCGCAGTAGAATACCTTTATGTTACCACGTTTTTCTCTAATATGTCGCAATAATACGCAGTCTTCGACGAAATGTCGTGCATTGTCTTCAATACTACAAAACTACTACTATCATTTTGCAAATTAATTCTTTTAAAGTACGTCGGGAAGTGCCCGTGTCCAGTAATTATTTGATAGTAATAAAAATCATATATCATTCTCATATTTTTAGAAACTTCAAAGTTCAACAAATAATCTTTCCTTTTTCCGGAAATGTTCCATTTCCAGCATAATAATAATTCATGTATTAATTTTTTTTTCAGGAAATTGGAGAAGTTTATCATAAAATCATTATTTTAAAAAGAAAACTGTAAAGTTTCAGATTTTAAATTTAGCCCAAGGGGCGATTTTTAACATTTTGGGGACTTTATTTATTATATTTATCTTGTTAAACCAGGCAATTCAGTTGCAGTGAGACAAATAAGTACATTTTATCCAGGACATGGTGCTCTTGGGCCCGTGCAGACATTTTGTCCAGTTTCTAAAAACTCAACGTTGGTGATTAAACTTATTTGGATCTTTGGATACATCGGAAATATTAATTTTGTAATGGGTTTGATAAATATAATATGGGTTGAAACTTTATGGAAAACCGAGAGCATCAAAAGTAGTTCAGTGCGTCTAGGGGTTCCGATAGTTCTTTTCAAGCCTTGGGTATTAATGGCGATAAATTCCGATGGGTGAAATTAATTCTTTCAGTGGATTCACAAATTAACTTATCTGAAAACGGTACAGCTAAGTCAAGGTAAAAGGGGGAGTTCTTTTTTCCCGGAGGTCTTCGTTTAGTGAGCGTTATTCCGTGAAAAACAGATAGGAGATCAATTATTTCGTCCATGCGCTATACTTTCATTCCGAGGCCAAATTGCTTTTTGGTGAAATTTCAGTTCGCTATCAAGCGTTATCAGTCAGTCATCAATTAGGGTAAACGCTGGGATTCCTGCTGATTATGTATGCTTATCATAATGTAGATCTAAAGAATATAATATAATGAAGGGGGCTATTTTAATTATTTTTTTGTTTCATATATACTTTGACGCGGGACACTACGAACTATCGGCGAGACAATGGTGGCACCGCTGCGGGAGAATTTCCGAACACAGTCTCAGCGGGCTTTTGATAAAATAAAAATGCTTTTTTCTGACAACGTGCCATTGCTCTCGGGGAAATCCGGCGTTAAAAACAAATCTAAAGGTTCAAAATAAAATCGATAAAAACAAATTCCAAATGCAAATTGGGGCTTCTAAAGCAGATCCAATAAAATTACGTCAATCATAAGTGAGGCTCTAGGTCCGTTGTTTCATCACATGCGAAAACTACAATATTTTGCAGTTTTTCAGTATTAATTTCTTCAATAGAACGGACAATAAGATGGATGGCACTGTTGAACAAGTGAACGGATTCAGATGATCGACGCAAAATGCTAACGAAAACAGTGTCCTCAGAGAAAAAAGTACCTTTTTCAGCGTCTCGCGCTCGGCCGATGATATAGCCCAGAATGACGTTGGAGTATTAATTGTTAGAGTTTCTCGATCCACCGTATAATTTACTAATTTTTATTTAACAGGCAGCAATTAAAATGTATATAAACTTCTCCATTTTCCTTAAAAATTTTAATACATGAATTATTAGAAGAATCTACAAATTCCTTAAACATAACAAAAGATGTCTCGTTACCTTTACACATCAAATTCTCAATACTGAATCAGCATGTATAAGTCGCACAAAAATCAATAAATTATAAAAAAATAATAAAAGGGTACTACATATATTATTAACGCAGTATATATTAACAGGTAACATGAGACTATTGCCATTTTCTAGAAAGAAAACGCCATTAATCTAAAATACTGAAAAAATAGATCTTTGCATTGGAATCATTCCATATCTCGAAGGAAACCGCATCAACTGCTTAATCTAATTGATTTTACTGTGTTTTCCCATAATAGCGGAAACTAATGACTCTAGTGAACGGAAGACACAAAGCTTCAGGAATATATTTTAGAACTCGAAAGGTTCGAAATCACAAAAGAGGCATACCTCTAGGATAACTTTTTTTACATGATATCTTGGTGATAGATTTGAGGTGGCAAAAAACATGTGTATTCGTCGTAAGTCGATTGAGCGCCGCCTGAATAACCAACTCTACCTTATGGGTAATCTATCAGGTGTAATATCATCGGAAGAAAGACTCTTCCGCCGGATAAAAATACATAAAGGACATGGGCATACGAGCCTTATAACTAATATGGAAAAGAAACAATACTACGGGACGTGTTGACATAAAAACAACAAGATGTGCAACTGCAACGGGATCTGAATGCCCAGCTATACTTCTCTGAAGAAATCAAATAGTACGTTTTAAAGTGACCTAGTGGGCTCACGCTTCGATCTAACGTGCCAATGGGGGGAAAGGTATTGGCTGCATACTTATCCACCAAAAGGACACAGAAAGAAAAAAATATGCTCGTATAAACCGGTAAGTCATTGCCACGCATATCTAGGTTGGATATCCACGCATACACTAGGTGGTAAGTCGCGGCGCGTATCTAACAGGCAATGAAATAAAAAAATTGGGCTCCAGGCCAGCATCAAATATTGTAGCACATAAAGTAGAAAGAAAATATTTCATATAAACAATGTATGTTCACTGCCGATGAGATGCGGAATACTCTTGGCGTTAGTTCTTGACATGCAATAAGTATCAGTGTGCCGGATTACAATATGCAATTGTTAAAAAGAGAATAAAATTTAAAATTTATTACACACACATTATACTAATAAAATAACATTTTTCAGTGTGTCATAATTGAATATATTTTAAATCTAGAGATAAAGTACACTTGCAGTGTTAACTGATTTCATTCACTTATTTATTTCATTAACTAATTGTCTGAATTGTGTTTAATATTTGTATGAAAAAGACTTCTGATGAGTTGTAAAATATAAGAAAGAACAGAAAGTGTACCTGCATAGGTGTGCTTTGGGCAGACAAGGATGTAAATCCAACAATATCGCTGAAGTAAATGGTGACACTATCGAATGCTTCCGCCGTAACAGATTGGCCATGAATTAGTTGACTAGCCACAGATCTGTGAAAAGAAACTTTGTATGTAAAAATATCTTGTACAAATTTCAGTGACAGAGAGTAACTTTAAAGGTGATTCAGTTGTTAACGATTAACTTCAGAACATTAAGCAAAATAGATTACAAGGTACGCTGTTATGTTTTACTATGGGCAGTGAAGTGAATGTTTGCAAAATATTCACCTATCCTTTTGTTATTTATTACTATGAGGCCTGGAGTATAAAATGTTTAGGCTTTGTATCATTTCACGTTTCTTTTTGTTGGTGTTCTTCTTGGAAGGATTCTGTTCTATTTGAGGTCTGGACGGTCTGGACGGAAGTTAGTCTGGACGGAAGTTATGCTCGCGGTAACATGCTCTCGTTGCTGGTTAGGTTACTGGGGTACTAGATTTTAAAAAAATGTTTATCGAGTTAAATAGTAATTAAATGTTGTGTTATTGCAGTCTTGTCCGTGAATTTCATGGAAGAATGCCAGCCAGAAGCTCACTGAGGTTGGCCCCAATTGTTGAAGAGGAGTGCCTCGGGGGGGGCGGATCCTAGGATCTTCCATCCGTCTCCTTTTCCACCAAACCACACGAGAGGACTTTCGGCTCGCCATATACTCGTATTTAAAGATTTAAAAGTGCCTCCATGCCGAAAAGACACTATGCATTTACAAACATCTATGCCTTCTTCGGGATTCGAACTCGGGTCCTTCAGTACCGCAGTAGGGTCCTCTAACCACTGTATCGTCTGGGGACAATAATAATTAGATAATAGAATTACATAAGTAAACCTTGTTTATACCTTGTGAAACCTACAGTCCATTTCAAATAAAGAATTTAGAACTTTAATTTGTCTTCGTTTCATTCGTCAAGAAACACCTTGTGTTTGTCAGTTTGGTTTATTTAATTATGGCAAAGCACTATATCTGCCTAAGAAGAGGGATGTCTTCGTGGAGGACTTTATAAGTGAAACTGGCTCGTATACACGTTACACACGAGAAAAACCACGGAAACGCCCATGCGCCCAGCCCCTTTGCCGAAATTCTAACCCCGGACTGAACTACCAGGATTTAACCACTTTACCGCTTGGCCGCTGGTAGGTTCGTATGTCAACTTACGTACTATAAAAGAAGTATAACTGTTTTTAAAAAATTCCTTTTATATATAGAGTTAAATAAATATATTATTTCATTAGCAAACAAATATTAATTAAGGACAAGAATTCCAATTTCAGTTTAAATAACATCAAGTTTAACAATAAAATATTAAAATTTTAAGAACACTAATAGAAAGCTTTTCTTTAATTCGGCGATAATCCTAAAACAAAGAGACGTGGTTACAAGTTACTAAAGAAAAGTTATATGCTGAGTATGAGAATGTTTTCTGTGAAGAAATATCTAACAGTCAAATGAGTTTTTTTTATTAGTGTGCAAAGAAGATTAAGTTATTATGTATTATCATTATTCTAGAGATACCTGCTTAAGGAAAAAAGCTTTTATAAAAAATTTTCTATGGAAAATCGCGTTATATTTATGTCACACGGGGTAAAACTTTCCTTTCGGGCTTTCTATCAACTAAAAATAGTACTTAACCTACTAGAGCCATGCAATAAAGGAACTGATTGACATCATTAAAGCGAAAGGGATTGACCCCGTTGAATAGTATCCAAAAGAGGATTTTGTACACGTTTATACAAGTGGTTCATCTGATGAGACAATCACTAATGGAGATTCTGCAGTGTTTCTGCGAGTCAGGCGATACTACTTATCAACACAAAATTGACACTGGAGCCATATTCTCTAACTTCTTGATAGTTTCTGACAACAGCGAAGGCACTTGACATGTATATAGAGAACCTTTCCATTATACCATTTCCATCTTACCTTTCCATTCCTGAGCAAGTAAAAGGATTCGTTGTCTTTTGTGACTCAAAGGCAGCTCTACAGGCAACCCTGGATGGAATCTCCTTGATCACCAACGGGATCTAGTTTCACCTAAACGAGGTGCAAATGTTAGATAAGGTTTGCTTTCATCAATGGTTGCCAGCGCATGTCTACATCGCAGGTAACGACGACGTAGATAAACTGGCAAAAGAGGCTCGGAATCTCAACAATAACAATAGCATAAATGTTACCCTGTGCCGTGGCCAAATACAGACATTCAATTCCAATAAAGCAGCAGCTCCATAACATCAATGGAGATCGATTTATAACTACAGGCTTAGAACTGGCCATCACAGAGGTTTGAAAATTGACAGAAAGGGTAGGAAACCTACAGAAACTGCGATAACTGCCCCTAGCACACAATTAACAACTGCATGCATAATTCATTGTACGGCCATCCTTGCTGAATTGTTAAAATTTGGGATCTTGTTTACAAGACCGAACCTCTTCGATGACAATATTTTGCAGATTCTCAGGGCTGTCATCTTCGCCCATGACGCTATTTAAATAGACTTTATCACAGACACGAGAACATATACACAACAGGGTGAACCACCAAAAGACGCATGCAGCTGGCTCGCTTCATTGCCATGATGAAAATTCGATTTAAATCTAGAATATTTTGTATCTTGGCCTCTCGGTTTATGGTTGACAGCTATATAGTGGATACAAATTAATAGTCCGTACTAGTGATTTAGGTAATTCATGTCATTGAGACATTACCTAATTATATCTACTAGTCATATCTTGAAAGTAAGGTCGAGCAGTTATCTTAATCCACATATGTAAGATCTTACCTAAATTTCATCTGTTAGGATAAATCAAATATCATAAAATTTTAATCTTAAATTAAATCAAATATCTTAAAATATTATTACTAGATTGAGAAAAATATCGTTCCCAAACAGAGTGAAATGCCATAAAATATTAATACTAGATTGAATGATGTGTCTGTAAATAAAATTACTCATTTGAGTTCTCTGATTCGAATATTTGTTTGATTGATTGTACAATTAATCAGTTGAGTTTATTAATTTTAATAAATGTTCGACTAATTTGTTTCATTGACAATTCACTGTATTTAAGGAATTTTATAGAAATGTATCATATCAATGAAATTTTAAAATTTCATATACAAGCTACATTGTATTCATATCTGAAAAAAAAAACAAATAGAAACAAAAGTTATGGAAATTTATTATTTAGAATGATAATTATTTTTCAAATAATTTGAAGGAACTATTCATTTACTTTGGCAAAAGCTGGTAGAGAAGATTTTCAGCTTTCCTTTTCTCTTCCAGATAGTCAGCAGTCCTTTCTTCAACAAGTGTTTCCAGGTTATTAGCATACTGTTCCATACGAGATAACAGGTTATCTAATATATTCCCACTTTTGTTCTCTCTGCAAAGAAAGCAATGTATTCTTAAACAATAGATAATTATCCTATATGAATAATGTAAATTTGAAATGTTTCCCAATTTACTTATTAATATTTCTCACTATAGTTTAGTTCAAATATGCTTATTGAAAATTCGAATGGAACAATATGAACGATATGATAAATACTTATTTGTTAAGTAATATCTTTGGTAATACTAAACAAGTTATAGCATAGTTTGTTAACCAGCTATCTTCTTATTTTAGACTTTACTGTCACTTCTACTCTTGTTGGCACTCATGAGAATCCAATTTAGTTAAATGCAGAGTCCTTGAGTTTAGGAGAGAGCTTGTGGCATCGACAGCTGACGTTAGGATACTTGTTTCTTAAAGCTTCTGAATTACTTGAATCGGTTTTAATTTTGCTGACGAAATTGCTCGCCTAAGTTGAGAGCTTGAGCTAAAACTTGCAGGCGTGTTTTGTCTATACGTGTTCAATCTTATACTTGAACACTTAAATTATGCTTTAAATTTGTTTCTATTTAAATCTTGTTGGCGAAAGCTGCGGAGTTTGTTTTGTTATTACTCAAGTTGTGTAAATTACTAGGCTGACAAAGTAGTAGAAGTGTTTATCTTAAACGTTCTTTTATGTGTTCGTAATTTGCTGCGACGGGGTGACAAGTCACGTGAGTTGCGGAGCCAGAGTTAACATTTAAAATAGCTAAGTTCCAAACTTTTAAGGTGATTAGGGAAAACTTTTAGAAATTACCAATATTTATTCCTAGTAATTGCGAACTCTTGCCTCAATTCCTTATATTTGATAGTTTTTAAATGCTAGAAAGATATTCTCAAATTCAGTTGATAATAAAAGACTTTCACGGAGAACAATGACTTTTTAACTGAATGAAAACCGTGTTCCACTTAAGTGGAACTACAGTCAAGTGCCATTTCATGATTATCGTTATCGTTGTCCAGCATTATCATCATAATATGTAGTATATCTAATATAAAAAATATTGCGGCGAGCGTACGGGTTCGTAAAAAAGTTGGATGCGCAAGTCCGATGAAAAGTGAATATAATTTATTATTATCGCAAGAAATAAGACAAAATACTTAAATTTTCTAAAATATTCGTACATTATTGCAATATCTCACAGAATTATATTTTAAACTACTAAAAACGTTCAACAGAACTTAATTATACACAGAAAAATGTACAGAAAGCTAATCCGATCTCGCCGCGAATTCGCTAGAGTAAACAACAACAGTTTTCTAAACAACTGCTAAACAACTAAATTGAGATGTTTTCCTCCATCTTTTATAAGCTTTTTAAATGCACGAGAAAATTCTCGTATTTTCTCAATAGCAAAAGAGTACAGTTGCGAGATATCTCTTTATTAAATGCGCGTGCTCCTGTATTTTTAATTTTTTTCGGAGTAGCTTTCTTTTCAAATAAGTCTTGTACTGCAAGGTAATATAAAACAATTTTTATTAATTCTATTTAAAGATAGCTAAATCAATACGAAAACCGTAACAATATGTAAATAAGCTTTATAATTTAATTTAATAACAGCATTTTAATTCTTCACTTTTAATTTGGGTATTTCCTCTTTATTCTGGAAATAATAATAACTTCTCTGGATTATGTCATTTCTAGATGAGTCTATTTTGCATGGCCTGATGACGTAGTTATTTCGGAATCTAAACTCTAAGAATTGAAACCTTTCTAACTTAAACCAAAACCTTTCTCTTAACAGACTGCTATATTAGATAACATGCTCAGTTAGCCTGTAGCTCTACTGCCGCTTGGACGCTATTTCATTTCCCTGTGCTTTGTCGTGCTGCTAACTACGCCGTTATTTTAAACTGTGATACTGTATATAAAACTGTAGAGTGCGTATTTCGCTCATGATCTCTGTAATGAAAAATATGGTTTCGTTAATTAGTTCGTGTCCAGCAATAAATATTATGCTCAGTTCGGCTACGTCTGTCTGTAAGTCTCTCCTTCGAGTGTCATCTTTCTAATTATGCAGCCAATCTCTCCAAGTTATAACGCTGAAAATCATCGTCAATCTGTTGCAGCTTACTCCAAGGTTTTATCCGGCAACAGAGCTGCAGGCTAATTGCGCATTTAATCCAATATGGCAGTCTGTTAAGAGAAAGGTTTTGGTTTAAGTTAGAAAGGTTTTCGTTCTAATTTGGTCGGATAACTACTCATCAGCGTTGCGCAGCCATGTAGATAGATTGATCTGAAATGACGCCTCCACAGAATTATTATATTTTAGATTAAATAGAATGCCCAAATTAAAAATGAGGAATAAAGCATTTTTTGCATATATTTATAATTTAAATGTATGAACTTAAATCCATTTAGTGCGAATACAAGTTATTATTACTTGCGCAATTGCTGCAAAGTTAGTTAATAATAATTTATTTCCTAAACAGTATTGATTAATTGATTATATTATCTCCTAAGTTTAATTAAAGTAGAATTATTTTAAAAGTGTGCATCCATACTGGTAAGTTATATTTTGAAAGATGTTTTGAAGTAATTTGAAAGCAAAATGTTAATAATGTTTTAACGGGGACTGGAGTTAAATCATCACGAAGAATAATATTACAATTGTAAAAGTAAAAATTAAAACATGTAATTATTGTCATTGATCGGAAATTAGTTGACTTTTCAAGGGGAACAAACCAACTCCCGTTCAATGATCAATAATTGATAAAAATACGTAAATATGAAAGTGTTTCGTCTTTACTCGAGTTATAAGTTAAAGCCAAACCGGCAATTCTAGTCAGGCCAAATATTTCCGCGAATAGTTGTTACTCAAAGAACTGATTCTCATGAAGCATTTTAGTCAATTCAATTTGGAGTAAAAATCAATTACTGTAGAGAAATCTTGTAAAACTCGAGTAATCGTCCCCGACACTATCATCTTTATGTATTTGAGTACTATATTATTTGTAGAAATTAAACATTGGAAATTGTCATTATGAAATCGAAATCAAAGTAAAGTTGAAATAAACATAGAAGATTATAAAAAAGATAAATAATGCAAACTTTGCAAAAACAAATCAAAGAGAACATAAAAATAATAAAAATAATATAAAAATAAAATAGAAAATAATATAAATAAGATCAGTGAATGTACATGAAGATATAAAGGCCAGAAAGGTATTAAGTAACTTACATTCTTTCTAGTGGGGGAGTTGGCAGTGTGTTTCTCTTCGTGTCTGACTCAGAAGTGTAGGGTGTCCGAAAATTCTTAGCGGCAGTAGGGGCTTTGAATTATATCAGTCGGTAAGACTTGGGTGAAGAAATTTATGGTAGTGGGTGGGACTTGGAATTCTTGAGGGATGTATTTTGTGGAGTTCTTATCTGAGAGAGACCGTCTGTTAAGATTTTTTTAAAAATACTAGTGAATGGAAATTAATTAATTTCTGGCTAATTGTCGTGTCGCAATGATTAAGAATTTAAGAAAGGAAAAAGGCATTTTCGCTATCCAAGAGCTAGTAGACAGTCTAAAGGCAGGAAATAGGCCCATTTTTTAGTAACAGTATAGTAACAGTATATGTCTGAAGACAATTAGCTTTTTACAATATATACAATTGAGTAATTACACTATATACAAATCTTTCAACTGACAGTCATCCAACTTATACCGCCTTCTCAGGTTTAGGAATAAATTATCATATCCCTATCAGTTAAATGATTTAGAGTGAGTATTTAACGCCTGCTCTTTTAAGGCAATGGTTGATAAATTGAAAGGGAATTAGATTATTTTTGAGAATTTTGATAAGGATCAAAATTTCGCGTTGTAAATCTATTGTATCTGTGCATATAGTTTTAATTCGTTGTATTTGATTAATTATAGTATTGTTAATTACTTTTTTGGATATGTTGGAGTTCCAATTTATTAATTTGTTAGTATTGAAATTGAAGTTTCTTGTTTTGTCAAAAAGTAAAATTTTTTTGTAGTTAATGATTTGAAGATCTAGAAAGTCTATGCTATTTTGTGAATTATTAGTTTTATTAAGTTTAAGACAATTCGGATAAATGTCGGAGTTTTCAATTTTACCAAAATTATTAATTGTAATAAGGTCATCAATAAATCTGTAGGTGTGTTTGTAGTAATTTAACTCTTGTGGTTGTAGATTTTTTTGGAAGTTAAATTCTTTGACAAATAAAAAGATATTACAGATCGAGGTGCTGGAATGTAAGCCCATTGGCAATCCTCTGACTTGTTTAAAAAGTTGATTTTGAAACTTGATGTAGTTATGAAAAAGTGTGCATTTTAGGTAGGTTTTCCATTTGTCAAGAGTCATGATATTGAGTATATTAGGGAAAAGTTTTGGTAGATCAAGTAGACTGGTATAGATTTCTTCTAGAGGAAGTGAGGTATATAAGTTTTCAAAATCATAGCAGTTAATGTTTTGGATGTTAATGGTATGAATGGTATGAATGGTATTAATGACAGGAGTGTTATTATGAATGATCCAGCAATAGTTATGATTAGTGTTACAATCATTGAAAATAAATTTACAGATTTTATTAAGTTGAATTGAAAAATAATAGTCTATATTTTTCTTGTAATTATTAGTTCCATTAGCTATAAATCTAAATTTTAATGGTGTTTTATGGAATTTGGGAATCGCATAAAGATTAGTAAATCTGTTGTAGTTTGCATTGAAAGTAATATTGAGTTTCTTATGAAAAGTTTTAATCCTGTTTATTATAGATGTTTCTGTAAGGTTGGCTGATTGATAAGTAGTTGCGTTGAGAAGTTCTTTATGAATAATCTCAGTGTAGAATTGTTTTCATATAATGCTAAAGTTATTAGTTGCTTTATCTATTTTTGTAATAGTAAAAAGCTGTTTTAATTTACTAATATCAGATGTAAGTTGCGACCAGTTCAGTGTACTTTTAAATTTGAGGTGACTGATTTCTGTGGATATGCGTTGAAGAATTTTAGCTTTCCATTTTAAGAAGGTATCTATGGGAAAATTCAGTTGATAGCTTG